TACTCCAGCCCATGGGACCCTATGAGGAGAGAGGCAAGGATCCTGTTCTCTGGGAACACAGCACTATTTGGGGAACTTAAGGAGTTTCACAGTTTGGAAACATCTAAGCAAGGCAGCATTCTCCTATAGGCACAGCAGCAATTAAAATAATGGAGGCCCAACAGAAGCCTGGGAGGGGCACGCTGCACCCAAGAGTGTGAGCTTGTTTGTAGATCAGTGAGGAACCCCTGGGACTTCCAAAAATACGTGAGAAGAGGACTTCCCAGGGGACTGAGATTCCTGCATGATATGATGGAATCTCAAGTCAGCAAAATTTGAGTGTAAACCTAATACGATTTTATTCATAAGAAAAGAGAGTTAATCCTTGAAATAGTTGGGTTCTGTATGTAACAAGATTTGGCATTCAAGTATGAGCCCGGTAAATGGCTTTATTGTCATCCTAAGATCTCCTTCTATGGGCTTCTAACCACACCTTACGATTGGCCAGGCAGATGTTACAGAGCTTTGAGGAAGAGGTCACACGATTTCCTCTGTGTTAGTTAAAAGCAACAGTAATTGAGATTAAGCATTAAGCCCTGCTGTGGGTAAAATAGTTCACTGACTTTCATGTGCCCTCACCTCACTCCCACCAAGAAGCAGAGGTGGCTAAGCAAAGTAAATTGCCCTGGGTCGCCTAGGTGGCTCAGTGGGTTAAGCGTCTGCCTTGGGCTCAGGTCATGATCCCAGGGTCCTGGGATCAAGTCCCGCATCAGGCTCCCTGAGTGGGGAGTCTGCTTCTCCCTCTCCCACTCTCCTTGCTTGTGTTCCCTCTCTTGCTGTGTCTCTGTCAAATAAATAAAAAAAATCTTAAAAAAAAAAAAAAATAATGGAAAGTGGGGCTCTTGGGTGGCTCAGTGGGTTAAGTGTCTGCCTTGGGCTCAGGTCATGATCTCAGGGTCCTGGGATCAAGTTCCACATCAGGCTCCCTGCTCAGCGGCAAGCCCGCTTCTCCCTCTGCCTGTTGCTCCCCCTGCTTGTGCATGCACTCTCTCTCTGGCAATTAAATCAATAAAATCTTTTTTAAAAATGTAAATTGCCCCAAGGTTACCCTTTATGCATCATATTTTCAGGTAAATATTAATATACTTCGACTCACACTGGCATCATCTACATTTCATAGTATAAATTTTTTTTCTGAAAAAAAAATTCAGTAATTTATAACTGCTTTTGTGCCACTCTAATATTTTGTCATCCAAGCTACCACTTATGACCAAAAAGGTGAACGTATATGAACTTCATGGAGCAGGAATTGTCACCAAGCATGTATGTCAAGTGGGTTTTAAAAAGTCCATAAATTATAGTGCAAGGAAAGAAAAACAAACAGGATAGTCTCTTTTTGATTTTTCTTTTTCAAGGAAAATTTTGACTTGCTCATTTCCCTAGTTTTACCTGAGTAACGATGCTAACATTTAGCAAGTACCAGTCCCAGACACCATTCCAACACTCGACATGAGTTATAGTGGTGCCCTAAGTGTACCCCTTAGAGGACAAGAGCTCGACTTCCCGAGGGGTTATCTAAAGTCTGTCTAAGGAAACATTTGCGTTTTATGAAGTCCCACGTGGTATTCTCAGGCTTTAGGAGCAGCTGAGCTCCACCATCTGCAAGAACGTAGAAATCACAGAAGTTGTTTCACTTCTCAAATTCCTTGTAGTTTACTAATTTTTAGCAGTAGAGTCATGACTTCTATGATGGCAATCTACTGGGTGAGCGGAATGTTACCATTGTTTTCATTGATTTTTTCTCTTTTTTTTCTGTATGACAGGTTAAACTGCATGAACACTGAGTATCGGATGCATGTTGTTCGTTTGCTTTTGTCTTCATTGTATACTGGAGCTCCAACCGCGACACGTGCTCAGGTCAAGAAGTAAACAGCCATATTATGGAGTGATTATGAAGAGAACTCCTTGCTAGGTTGTATTGTGATAGGTAATGTTAACTGCAGCTCTAACTGTACAAGTAATTGTAGTCAATTTAATGAAATTTGGTACTGCTGTAGCAAAATGTCTGTCAATTTTGGAGCTCAGTTTAGAACAGAGCACCTTTTTATCTACCTACAGAAATTAATGGTAATCATGCTTTTGACAAAGGCAAAATCAACCTAGGAGGCTTTATTCAGAAAAGGATTATTCTTTTAAGATAGGGGGAGACTAACTCATTTAATCCTTAAAACAACCCTCAGGCGTTAAATATTTTACTCTTTAAATATTTATTTAGCACTTACTACGTCCAGGCACTGTGTGTATATTAACTAAAATAGTCCTTTCAACAACTCTGGGTGGACACCATTATCAACCCCATTTAATAACGAGGAAACTGGGACATAGGGAGATTAAGTAGTTTGGCCAAATGAAATTGATGCTAGTCTGTTTTACAGAACAACGAGCTGCCACGAGTATCCATGTATAATATTCCCAACACCTACCAATTACTGGGTGTTGGCATTTCCCATACAACCTCTCATTTAATTATTCCAAAAGCCCTGTGCAGTAGCTATTCTTACCTTAATTTTAAATACAAGGAAATGGGTGCATACAAAAGAGAAAAAACCTGCCCTGAATCATGTGGCTAGTTAGGACAGCTGAAATCTGACTACGTACATCCAAGTCAATACCTATACCTTTGTCCAGGTCAAGGGTTTAGTGTGGTAGATTTACAGATGGCATGGAAGGATGGCATTTTCAAGCTTAACGAAAGGGAGCATGGATTTTTTTTTTTTTAAGGCCACAAACATTTTAGTCTATTATACAGCTGCCAGTTTAGCAAGTAACAGAAATAAAGGGAAACGGTAACTTAGAAATTGGTCTCTACACTATAGCCAGTGGTACAATAACAACATAAAGAGGACAAGGGGGGTTTCTAATGCTTTTTATGACTGTATTTGTATCATTTAAAAGTAATTCAAACTGAGAAGAAATGCATAGCTAAATGGAGGGCTAACGAAAGCCATCCTTCTGCCACCCTCTTCATGAGGCAGCGCACATGTGCTTGACTGCTATGTACGCTGTGCCACAAATGACAGGTTTGTCCTTCCCTGTAGTAGTAGTTTACTAGGGAAATTGTGAAATTCTTTCTCTGGAAGATTCCAAAAGCAGTTTTTCATCTGGTTTAATGGTTGTCCTTTCTGAAATTAGGTGAATTGACTGAATAATCTTTTGGTTTCTCCTAGCCCTCATATAAGATGTAAGTGTGCCACTAACACAAATCCTTTAAAAAAAAAAAAAGTTATGGGGGCGCCTGGGTGGCTCAGTCGTTAAGCGTCTGCCTTCGGCTCAGGCCATGGTCCCGGGGTCCTGGGATCGAGTCCTGCATCAGGCTCCCTGCTCACTGGGGAGTCTGCTTCTCCCTCTGCCTGCCCCTCCCCTACCTGTGCTCTCTCACTCTCTCTGTCAAATAAATAATTAAAATAAAAAATAAAGTTGTGGAATGTTTGCTAAAATAATACTCAAGTAATTTAATTCCAGATAGGTAACAGTGAAAACCGACATACTGTGTAAAATATTCTAAAGGACTCAGAATAGTACAGGTTTGAAATTTCTGGGAAGGGGCGCCTGGGTGGCTCAGATGGTTGAGCGTCTGCCTTCGGCTCAGGTCATGATCCTGGAGTCCTGGGATCGAGTCCCACATCGGGCTCCCTGCTCTGCGGGAAGCCTGCTTCTCCCTCTGCTTCTCTCTCTCTCTCATGAATAAATAAATAAAATCTTTAAAAAAAAAAAAAAAATTTCTGGGAAGAAATTTTGTGTAATGAAGAAATTCTATAGTTAGAAATAATTTTATTCAAATGTACATACTTATAACTACCATCAAACTGTATAAAATATATTCAAAGAATTAACTATAGCAGATACCTTAAAGACAATCATAAAATATCACAAGAGCATGATGGTAGTCATAAGACCATGAGAGAAAACTCAACGGACATATAAGACTTATACAGCTTCAGGTATTTATAACTAACATAATAACAGCAAGCAGCCTCTGGGTATTTCCTATGTACCACCACGGTAGCAAAAAGATTCTCCTGAGTTATCTTATTTATCCTCATCAACCCTATAAAGTTAACATTGTCAGTTCCCTTTTAGCAGGGAAGAAACTGAAACTCAGAGGTAGGTTATTTGTCCAAACTTAAACAGCTAATGAGTGACTGATCTATGTTGAAAGTTTAAACCCACCCAGTTCAACCCCACAACCCAAGCCCTGTGCCATGCCTCCTCTGGGAACAAAACTTGTTCCTCCTCATCAGGAGTAAGGCAGATTTTTAAGATGCTAATATGAAGTCAAATGACCAAGGAGGAAGAGAAGCAAAAGTCTTTGATAATATTCAAACTGAATAACCCTTGAATCATTGTGACCTCACTTGGGTCCTTTGAGGGTATCCTCCAACTCTTGGGGATTAATGGGCTACATGATTTGCAGCTGATTTCTCCCAGCTCCCTCTGGGCTCTCCTACCTATCATGGGAGTGTCCACAAGTCTAGACAAGTAGACTTTAAAACTGTGTTCACATCACTACACATTCTACTTGTTTTGTTACTCATGTACATGGTCATTTCAGAAATTCCTAGAATAGTCTGGTACACTAAGTATCAGTCATGATTTTCAGCTCCTAGTAACCCATTGTGTGTGATTCTGGCCTGAAGTAAGAATTTAGACATGTGGTCACTCTTGCTTACATTTTCTCTGGAAACTCAGAGAATATAGAATCAAAGAAAACATTTAAGGTACATAAACTTTTTCTGTTCTCATCAGCCTTCTCTGCTTGTGACTGACGAGAAGGAACTCTCCGACCAGCTACCATGCCAGGGTGTAAGAACAGAAAGAAGTGTAAATCAGTAACATGTAACAGGTACCTTGTAAATACTGCCCGGGGCCTGACCTTTGCCAGCCATATCTAACATTCTTCCACTTTTCAAGCACGGTTCACAAACGAGGCCGTGGGCAGCACAAATGAATTACTAAAAATATAAGCATTCAAGTGACTTTTAATATTAAAATACTTTATGAAATGATATATAAAATCATTGCATAGGATAAATTTCCTTAGCCTCCGCTTTTAAAAGTTTTCAACAACACATCTGCTGCTAGTCCTGGGGACAGGGCCCCACTGAGAACCTTTTTTTCCAGAACAGGAATCTGTTCCTGGACGGTGGGATGGGTCCTGAAATGTTCTAACACGCTTTCCTGAATGAGATTCCACATCCAAACTTTCTGCTGCCTCTGCCGCTTGGCCATCAGCTCCCCACTGGCGAGCATGAGGTCCTGGAACTCTCTCATCTTATCCCACATTTCAGTGATGCCCTCTCCGCTTCTGGCGGAGATACGAATTACCTATTGAAAAGGGAAGAACCAAAACCGTTTTACTTAAAATGATAGGAAACATCTTCATAGGAACTCTGATATTTGCCGATTAAGTCTTACAGTCTATGAAAATAGGTAAGTGAAAACGGAGACATTTTGTCACTGTATTGAAGTAAACTATACCCAGAAGTAGACTGAGGTAACTTACTACGATTACTAACTATGTGCAGAAACAAGACACTGATTTCAGGTCAAAATTTTTAGCCCAGAGGCTTATTTTGACTTAGGATTGCTCAGATGGTCCTCAGAGGCCATGCGGAGGAGCTGCGAGAGGGTCACGAGGATGAGAAGGGCAATGCTGGGTAGGTTTCCCTGAGGCCTGAGTGCTAGGAAACGGAACTATGTTGAGAAAATAGCCCCATTCCCTGTGTCAACAGTCCCTGATTCAGCAAGCACTAAGAGCCGAGCACCCAGCCCTTGCCCGGAGCAGACAGCCCTGCGCCCCGTGCAGACAAGGTGACTGCGGGAGCCCAGGGGCGGGCGGTAAGGGAGGTCACCGCTGCTCTCATTCGAGTGATTACAGCTTACTCTTTAATAACAGAGTGGCCTCCTGCACAGAAAGCTGCCCACATCAATAGCAGCATACCGTTTATTACAGAACTTCTCTTTGTTTTTTCCTTCTTGAAAACAGCACCCAACAAGCATAATGGGAACGGAAGTGATCACACCAAAAGCTTCTCTCCTACTCAAACTCTTAAGACAGAGAATCAAATCACTAATTGCTCCATAATCTTAAGAATGGTTCCTTTCAGGATGGATTTGCTATCACTTCAGAATGGCTCAAGTCAAACATTAAGCAAACTAATCTATCCCCTTGCATCTGGTTTTTGACATCTCGTGATTGAAGGATTATATTTAAAATCATGACAACCCACTCTGGCTTTGCCATAATGTTTTAAAATTCTGATCTCACATCCAAGCAAAGATTGATTCTAAGTCTAGCTTGGGACTCCCATCCTCTCTTCTAATGGGTGCAGTCCACTCAGGGTAGGAAATGCAGAACGGAACGCAAGCTGACCTTTGGTCTCCAGACTTCTGAGCGTTTGCGGAGTAACTTCAGTGCACTCACATACTCAGCCTGTATCCTTCGAGCCGGCACGATCAAGTCTCCATCAGATTTCGTTATAGCCACCAGGTCTGCCATCTCAATTATACCTCTTTTGATACCCTGAAGTGAAAAAGACAGTGATGTATCAGAAACACTTCATTTAATTATAGCAAAAAAAAAAAAAAAAAAAAAAAAGGGACACCAGTCAATGCTAAGATTTTGAGAGACACACACTTCATTAACTAATTTTCCTCTGCATCCTCCCAAGCCCTGGGTACTAGGAACCACAATTACTCAACAAAAATTATTCAAAAGCACCAGCTGTTGGGATTATGGAAGTCATCTATAAGATCTCTTCCAAATTTAGAGACTAACATGAGAAAATACATTCACAATTAGAGAAAATGCATCATCAAGACACAACATGAATGAGTGGCAGGGGACAAGTCCAGTTGTCTCATGACGGATTCTGTCTCTCCTGAGCTAATGCTGCAGGATGCAAAACCATCCATCATTAAGTGCTTAAAGAGAAAAGACACCTATCGCTAACACCTGCATTTCCATAAACAAAGTCTTTGAAGTTTTCCTCAAGGTTTATAATTTTTTTTTCCAATTTGCATTTGAGGAAAAATAACCTGATAGTTAAAAATGCCCCAATCTCGGTCCTACAAACACCCACACCACAGTGGTCTCTTTTGGCTGGAGCGGTCCCTGTGCCCCGTTCGCTCCCCATGCTGCAGGTGGAAAAATCTAAGTTGTAGGATTAGCTCAAGGTCATAAATTCTATTACTATAAGTTAGGAAAAAACAGAGAATGTGTCTTTGACTCAGGTATTTTAGCCAATATGAATGATATTTATTTTCTTTTTTTTATTTGAGAGAGAGAGACAGAGAGCGTGCATGTGTACTAGTAGGGGGAGGGGCGAGGGAGAGGGAGAAGCAAACTCCCCGCTGAGCAGGGAGCCCGATGCAGGGCTCAAGCCCAGGACCCTGAGATCACCAGAGCTGAAGGCAGATGATTAACCAACTGGGCCACTCAGGAGCCCCTGAATGCTACTTCTTTTACCTACATTAATAGCAACTTAATTTACAGAAACACAACACTGGATATGTGTACTTTCAGAGATGTATACTTTGTGTCTGGGGAGAAAAAAAGTCAACATAATCACCTGCAATTCATCTCCTCCTGCTGGTGGCAGTAGTAAAACAAACATGTCAACCATATCCGCAACGGCAAACTCCGACTGGCCCACACCTGAAATTGTAAACTATTCATAGTGATGAGACTTTCTCAACTACCTTGACCACCATTTCATTCACTCGTACTCACGCTCACACACTCAAGCCGATCCCACCTTAAACACCCCCCTCTGAAGAATCTATTAAATGCACTGCCTTGCCTATGAGCACACCTGTGACCCTCCCCACACCTCTCTCCCTCGCTTATTCCCAGTAGCCTTCGTGGCGGCTAAATGGAGAACCTCGAGATGTCCAGGGAGCAGCTTGAATTGTGTGGTTCTAATCCTAGACCAGGCCTGTCAAGACTTTCAGCTTTCTGGCCTTCTCAGCCTCTGAGGAGCCCCGCAAACCTGCACCGATGGGTCAGTCTGACTATCCGTGGTCTCTCCTCTGTAAGCGTGCCAGAGAACTGGCTCAGGAACAGGCACCACCACAGGGTCATGGAGTCTGCCATCCACTACCCCCGCCGCACTGCCCGGTAAAAGCAATGCCCCTAAGCACCCTCAGTCAGCTGCTTTCCCATTCACACCGTGGCTATTACAAACATTCACTGTGCCATGATCTCCCCCATGACGACGACCCTGGCACCTACCTGACAGCGCTCCCTCAGCGTCCCCCTCGCCCCCTCCACAGATAAGCAGGTCCAAATACCAGCCCTGCTCACTGCCTCCTCTCCAGCCTCCTTCCTTCCCATTTCCTCTGGGCCCTTGTTTTGCCTTATCTTTAACCTCTCCTTAGTCTACCGGCTCCTGTCACCCAGCACCTCATAGGAATTGTGCTCTTGTCTTTCTCATCTGAAAACTAAACAAACCAAGAAAAAAAGACAAAAACTCACAACCTCCTCCAATTATCACCATATTTCTCACTTTCTCTTTATAACTAAGTGTCTAGAAAAACAATCAATGTATGCTCATTTGTCTTCATTACTTCACATTAATTTCAATCCACTTAAATCTGACTTCCACATCACCCGCTCCACTGAAACTCCTCTCAAGATTCTGTCCTTTGTTGGGGTGTCAGAGACTTCTAGTTGTCCATTCCATATTTATTCTTCCCCATTTCCTTACCCCAATGTTGTCAGGAGCACCAATATACCAGGTGGAAGCCCACAGTCACCACACCCAATTTCCACCAGAGATGATCAATGACTGAAAGCAAAAGCCACCAGATGGGGTTTCCAGGGAAAATTCTTTAAAGGGGACTAGCCCAGCCAGAGGTACACGTCTTCTGCCTACCCCTTTCCCTTCCTTCCATACTCTCCCTCCTCCCTCTTCCTCCTGCCTGGAATGTGGATGTGATGGTTAGAGCTTCATCAGCCATCTTTTACCCAAGAGCAACACTGAGGAGGGAAACTAAGTGCTAAGAATGGACAGCAGAGACAGAAGCCTGGGACACTGAGGGCACTGTGGAACCACCAGGCCTGCTCAGGACTGCCTGCCTCTGGGCTTCTCCTGTAGACGAGAAAATAAACCACTTTCTGTTTGAGTCACAATTATTTCGAGTCTCTGGGACAAGCAGTCAAATGCAACCTCCAGCCAATGCACTTGGTTTTTATGGTCCTCTTCTCCCTTGATTTCTCCTACTACCACACGGGCAACTCTTCCTCCATCCATCCCTACATGGTGGAGTTTCTGGTCTCCGGCCCCATCTCTCTTCACCCCCTATGTGCCTCCACATTCTATGGGCTAAGTATCCTGAACAAACCGCGGTTCTGTAAATGGGCCATGTCCTCTCACTCTCTTTATTTCACTCCAATTCCTCCTTCAACACTGAGCTCAACTGTCACCTCCTCCCGGAAGTCTTCCCTGATCCCTCAAACCTGAGTCAGGTTGTGTCACAAACATTTATCACTGAGTAGCAGTAGTTTGTCTCTCCACAAGCCTGTGAATTTCTTGGGGTTTCCATTTCAGTATTTTCATTGTGTATAGCTGTGTACTAAGGATAGAAAGATGAAATAAAACATGGCCCTGTACTAAAGAGGCACCCAACTACATGAATTTTCTTAGCAAATATTATAGACATGTGAAATGTGCTTAAACACAACAGGTGTTAAGTTAATGTGTTGTTTCCAATGCTTACAGTTCTCCTCTGGCGTTTACAACATACCACTCTTATATAACAGTTCTCCAGATACACGGCTTTTCTTTAAAGGTCAGGATTAGAGCCTGTATTTTCATATCTCCTATAGAACCCGAGATATCTTGTATTTAATTACACCTTAGAAAATATATGCTGAATGAACAAAATGATACTAGTTGTCAATCATCTTTTTATGGCATTCGTCATAATAGTATTTTACTGTTATGAAATAGAAAATCACACTCACCTACGGTTTCAATAAGAATGATGTCATATCCCCCTCCTTCACACAACAGAATAGCTTCATTTGTGGTCCTTGTCACACCTCCTAAAGTACCGCTGGTAGGAGATGGCCTGATGTATGCATTCATATCTCTTGATAACTCAGTCATTCGGGTTTTATCACCTAAGAGTGATCCTAAGACACAGAGTTAAGACTTTCTAATCATGGAACACCTATAAGGGCCAATTATCAATCAGCTAATTCCCAGGTGAAGTGCTTTATGACATTTCTCCCCAAATCTCAAAATGATTTCATATTATTGAGCTTTAGGGCAACACAGCATGTATGATGCCAAATTAACCGTTTGAACATTTCAAGCCCTTCAAAATTTATAATGGTTTTCCACTGACTAGAGGTTCAAATCTAGATTCTTCAGCCTAGCACTAAAGGCCCTCAGAATGCAGCCCTACCTTACCTGCCCATTTTCAGCTTCCACTAGTCCTCAAATCAATCTTCCATTCCAGCCAAGATGGGTTCTTTACTGTCATCTTAACATGGTTGTCTTTATGGTTTTCAAATGGGGATGAGTTTGCCCCCAGAGGAAATCTGGCAATGTCTAGAGAGATTTTTACTTGTCACAACTGGGGGTAGGATGCTACTGGCATCTGGTGGGTAGAGGCCAAGGATACTGTTAAGCATCCTTCAATGTCAGGAAGCTGCCCAAAACAAAGAATGTCATTAGTGCCAAGGTTGAGAAACTGCTTTAATAGAAGGTCTTTGCCCATGGAACCATGTCTTACGTATTCTGTAATGAGTGTTTATTCACAGTAGGCAATTAATTAATTAATTAATTTTTTTAAAAAAGATTTTATTTATTCATTTGAGAGAGAGAGAGAGAAAGAGAGAGCATGAGCGGGGGAAGGGCAGAGGGAGAAGCAGGCTTCCTGCTGAGCAGGGAGCCCAATGCGGGGCTCAATCCCAGGACCCCGAGATCATGACCTGAGCCGAAGGCAGACGCTTAACCAACGAGCCACCCAGGCGCCCCTAGGGTTTTCATAGGTTCTAATTCTAGAGCAGACACCTACCACATATCTCAACTACCTTATTTATTGCACACAAAACTTTCTTCTAAAGTGATTTTCTGCATGAAACCATCTCTGTGTAAGTCAACAAACTGCCAAAGCCGTACTTTAAATTATTATCCTATAGATCCTAACACACTGAATTAAACATTATGAAATTACTCTCCCATCTGTCTTAGCAGTGAGTCCAAAACTGTCAGTTGCAGACCCTTCGGGAGGTCTCCAAGCTACTGCAGGGGGTCTGTGAATCCAAAGCACAACAAGGACTGAACTACAGGCCAATAAAGTAATGTTTTTCAACTTTAGCATCTTGCTGCTTTTCAAATGTATGGTACTGGAGCAATAATAAAGTAGAAATGGAAACTTACAGTGTCCTGTTAATCCTCACGTATTTTTCTTTCAAAGTCTATTTATTTTTTTTACCTGACAAAGGGACCTTCATTTTTAGTTTAAGAATTAAGAACCACATGGCTATGCAACTTTAATCAGGCTATCTTGTCAGCATATCTGCTATTACTATCTCAAGCTATTATTTTCTTTTGCTATTACAAGTATTATAGAATACTACAAAGGTAAGAGAAAAAAGGCCTTCTCCCCTGTATGAAAATGAGAGCCACTATAAAAAAATTCTTTGTTCAAGTCCTTACACCTTTAACAAAGAAAGTTCTTAGAATGTAAATAAGATGATACACTGACATGGCTTTAATCTCGAACCTTGTGAGTATAATTTTATTTTACGGTTAACATTTTTATTATTGTGACTCAAAAACTGTGCATGTTCTCAGCTACAGTTCTCAGTGGGTGGTAACAGGAATTGTTGTCCACGTCTCTACTGACCTAAAGCCCTTGAAATATGATTATATCATCTCTATTTTTTTAGCATGAAACCCATAGTATGCAAACCAAACACTTCCACAAAGCGCCCTGTATTTTCCCCTCACAACACACGTTACGTTGTAACGGCCTGTGTTCACATGTCTATTTCCCTCATTTGATGTAGCTCCCTAAGGCCAAGAGGACTGTGTCTCAGTCACCATTACATGACACAGTGCCTTCCTTGTACAATGCCTCGCCTATATCAGACATTCGAGCACTTGTTAAACGAATAACTGCAATGTGAGAGGGGTAGGGGGAAGAAAAACTTTCCTGAGTATTTATATGGTATGCTTTATGTTTTCCTTAAATGATCCTTTGGGGAAACAGAGTTTATTCATTTTCTCTCTCATGAGCTGCAAATTAAACTAAACTCGGAGTGACTGTGTGCCCTCAAACCAGTAAGTAGTTGCTGAGCCTGAGAGGTGACACACCACGCTACGTGCTGTAGGGAGAACAGCAGTGTATTCCACGGTCGGTCCCTCTAAGAGCTTTCTGTTTCACTGAACATGTAATATGAACCGGTGACAAGTTAGAAAGAGCAATAACATTTTCTTTTAAGCTTAAGAGACGTTACAATATAAGAAAAAAGCGAACGAGGGATGGACCCATTTTCTGAACCGTGTAGGGGCTGATACAGCCAGGGAAAAAACAACAGGAGGGAAGAGGGCCTAATGTCAGCTTTGATAGACAAAGAGCTGGAAGTTGCTTTTGATTATCTTCAACTTCTGGCGCCCATTTTCCTAGTTCTCTAAGTACCCAAGCTCGTCCTGGACTACCCACAAGCTAAGGAGCCCAAGGCCCCAAACCACCTCCCTCCATCTCCACCTCGCTGCCCCCAAAACTCCCTTCTTTCAGTGAGATCAAACTCAGCGAGAGGTTAGAAGTCACCAGACTGTGCAAATTCCCATTAAATTATAAGAGAGCCCTTTGAGCCCCTGCTCTGCAATTAAAAAAAAAAAAAAAAGTCAGTGATACTCACCACCACTAGTACAAGAAGAAGGGTCCACAGCTAGCACAGATAATTTGTGCCCTCTCTCAGTAAGCATTTTTCCAAAATACTCTATAAAGGTTGATTTTCCAGCACCAGGGGGCCCGGACAATCCTACAGTAGAGAGAGACCTTCTAATTTAATGAAAGAAATGAGAGCAGCACAATGATAAGTTCTATTCAAATATTAGATTTATCTTCTATTTCTCATGTATTAAAACCATCATTAATGTATTTTAACATTTCCTAAAGTAAACAAAAAACCATTTATTTATCTAGGTTCCTGAGCAATAGGGATATAGGAAGAAAACAATTCTGAGTTCCCTATGTTCTCCAAATTCACTTTGTATAATTACAAAATATGATCGGCCCTTTTACTATAACATAGATCTTTCTGGAAAGACTTCATTGCCTATACTGTTAATGTGCTGAGTTTCCACAACATCTGCCCACCTCTCACCATGATCAGTAATTATCCCACCTACCCCAATGCTGGACACTTTGCTCTTCCCATTAGAAAAACAACTCAGTACTCTGGAAATTCCCAGGGATTGAGAAAATTTTCTATTTATGAAAGATAATTTTTTTTCATCCTACCCATAACTCAAAATATAGGATTTAAACTGAATCCTGAAAAAATTAGCTTGTCTTAAGAAAGGCAGGAAATTTCCCTGCTTGGAGAGTTCACCGAGCATGGCAGGTAAGAGCACGCACTCTGGAGCCAAGTGGCCGGTTCTGGTTCCAGCTCTCCCTTTTATGAGCTGTACAATCGTGGTGAGGTTACTTAACCATTCTGTACCTGAGTATACTCTGCAATAAAATAGATGCGCTAGCACCTATCTCTTCAGGTTGTTGTAAGAACTAGAGGAGTTGATATTTGCAATGTTTAGAACAGCACCTGGCATAAAGTATATAACACTGAAGCATTTAATTGTAATTTCATTCAAAAGTATGCGTAGGTCATATGGCATGCTTGGCTCCTTACTGCAATTTTCAGGGCAGGTCTCTGTCTTAAACATCTGTATGGGTGCCGAACAAACATTTGTTACTTGTAGTTATGATGGTGATAAAATAGCTACCATAAAGACACAGGTTTATCTGGCCTCACAAGACCAAGATGAAAGAACCAGAACAGCAATGAAAATTTGTGAGTTACTAGCTACGAGTGAGTTGCTGGTTAACTCTGTATATTTCTGGGATATTTTCTCTTCAAACAGCATTTAGCCGTAATAAGTAAACACTTTGTCATAACAGGAATTTCTCTTTGGGAGTCTACTATTTTGTGTCTACAATACATAAAGATTATTAACGGTCAACGTAGTACTCTCAAAAGGAGAGTTCCTTCAGTGAAGGCAGAAGACTAGGATGTATGAACAATGCAGACTAGTACCAACATCGGTTGGTGAACTCTTTTTGAAATAATCTTTAAAGATTCATACCCTGTTACCATAAAATTAGAAAGTTTTAATCCCCTATCATTAAACTGAGATGTAAGTCTAATATAATGCCAGTCAATTTTTAAGTATTTACTCAATCCTCACAAAATTTCTGCACTTTGTCCACCATTTCAAGTTTTAGTGGGAAAGTTGGTTGGAATCACCTACTTTGCCATCATGAAGAGCTCTCATCCCACCTAAACCTATCTAAACTGTTTAAAAATGCACAATTAAGAAAATATAGCAAGCTTATTTGCAATTGCGGAACCTAGTCAATTGTTCAAGAAATCGAGTGAATTTCTAATATTTTTAGACAGCAAATGAATATGGTCTCTCCTTTAAAACACATTTTGGTATTGAGATGGCTGCACTTAAAGCCAAGCAACTCCTAGAAACTCTAACAAAAAGTACCTGAAAGAAGAGAGACTTGCCCTAGAAAGACTAATGAAACACCTAAGAAGTAGAATGTTGAAATGTGATAAGGATATTTATAGTTGATATAAATACTAAAACAAGGCATTCACTTCAGACCATCGCGCAGAAGGACTACCAAGAGAAAGGAGTAAACCAGTTAACAGTTCTTCATATGCATATTCTATTCTGGGAGCCACAGGTTCTTGCCAAAATAGAAATCTTATATTATTCTCTTAAAATACAGAGACTTGGTTCAAATTACCCCCAACATAACAAGACCGATATTTGCAAAAAAAAAAAGGGGGGGGAGGGGGATTAAAATCCAGCCCAAAATTCTGAGAAGAAAAAAAGAATTCCCATTAGATTACAAACTATGTAGACTTATCTTAAAACAGAAAATTTACAAAAATATTTACTGAACAGACTGAAAGGAAAAAAAAAAAAAGACTGACCCACTCGAAATGCTAGTGGTTTTCCTTTATTTATTTGTTCTTGTTCTCTGTGGTAGACTAATACTTTCTGAAGAAGCACCTGGGCTAACTCTTTTTTCCTCTTGTGTGTTGATTCTATAAGAGTTATGGCCTCTGCTAAGCAGGCCCTGTGCCCTTGGATTAAACCGGTATAAAGTTTATCCACAAATCTTTGTTCTTTATCAGAAAGTTCTTCTGTGTGTTCCTTTAAGGTTGTTTGTACACATAATTTTCTCTTTAAACCATTTGACAACAACATCCATTTTGTACAATGGAGTCCAAGAGAATTAAATGGCCGAGCACAAGGGATTCCTGATCCGAGATGAGTACTTGAGTGAAAGATGAAGTGGTAGCGATGGAAAGGTGTTCTTAAAAGGCCTTTTAGGAAACGCCGGTGAGAATGTTGCAGTAGCATGGGAATATTCATTTTGTTTGTAACTGCAGAAAACACAGGTTGCTTTTTCGTTCAATGTGATTTGTGACTCCCTAGAACAAAGAAAAACGTATTTTTGCCAGTTCAATATACAATTAAGATACTGAAGTTAGTAAAACTGCAAGCTTAGTGTTTTCCCTACATTCTAAAACACACATAATCAGGCTTCTTGGCAGTACAAATGGGTGAAAGTTTCTTACCAAACCTAAGAGAGAAGATGCCCCCTTGCCTACAGTTAATATTCAGAGTAGCCCAAATGATGGATTATTGCTCTACTGTAAAATAGAATGTACATTAAAATTTTCTTCCAGGGGCACCTGAGTGGCTCAGTCGTTAAACGTCTGCCTTCAGCTCAGGTCATGATCCCAGGGCTCTGGGATCGAGCCCCACATCAGTCTCCCTGCTCGGCGGGAAGCCTGCTTCTCCCTCTCCCACTCCCCCTGCTTGTGTTCCCTCTCTCACGGTGCCTCTCTCTGTCAAATAAATAAAATCTTTAAAAAAATAAAAATTTTCTTCTAAACAAAAAATAAATATACAAAAACCCTGTTAGGGTAGAAATTTTATGTCATGTTTATTTTCTTCTGTCTACAGACTACAATTTCCTCAGATCAAACAGACCTTATTTTGAGGCTCATTCAAAAGGTAAAAAACAAAACGAAACAAAACAAAAAAACAAACTTCTGATGCTAGCCTTTTATTCTTTCTCTACCAAAAAAAAAAAAAAATGTGATTAATAGTGTAGGCACTTGAGGCATAAGTTTAGATAAATGTATGTATTCAATGGGCTCACCCTGGAACATAGATATATGTAAAGAATGGCCTAACATAAGCACATCATCACCATCACCACCACCACCACCAACGCCACCACCCTGGGCCTTCGTGTGAAATGAACTGTGAGGTTTGTATGGTAACTAGATCAATGTATTTCCAAGTAGGACCCAAACTGCCTGGTACTTACTAAAAATGCATATTCCCAGCCCCACACATCAGAATCTCTGTGGGTAAATAAGCACACTCAAGTCTGAACCACTATGGAATTAGATGAGGATGCTTTACTTAGATTTACTGATAATCTCCATTTCAAATTGTATTCAACAATGAAAGCTGACACAGTAACATGGAGAGTCAGGAAAGTACAGAGGGTATGAGCCATGGCCACTCTGAGTCTCTGTCACGTCAGCTATTGTGATACTGACCACTCCGTGCCTCAGCATCGTCTTGAGTTAAGAGAAGAGGTAAAGAGAATAGGATGGCTGTGAGAATGAATTCAGTTAATTCATGTAAAGAGCCTCATGTAAAAAGCCTGGAACAGTGCCTAGCATAGAGTAAGAGCTCAATAAACGTTAGCTTTTATTATTATACTAATTTATAAAACATCAGTAAAAATTAGGTCACAGACCTAGCTTCCAGTGGCAAACCAAAATTTACATACAAATGATACATATGGCCTACCAAATTTGGCTTTATGATTATTTGAAAATTTTGGTTTTCAACTACCTCATAGCAGAATGAGATAAATTACTTTATTGCTCCGAAGTACCTCTCTACATTGTATTTCAAGGCCAATCCCTAGCATGAAATTAATTTTACTAAATAACATTCTAATAGGAAAAAAGAAGACATATTTTAAGTTTTTTTTTTTTTATTGTTAGAACTATAACTGCTCATTTTTCTGTTCTGGGGGGAACAGGGGACATTATGACTTTGATTTTGACAAAATTCGTCTTATTCTAAAAGGAAAATTTATGGAAAACCGTGTAAAAATGGTTCTAAAAAAACAATTTAAAACATCCACTACCACCCTTCACACAGACATACAAAAAGACATTTAAAACAACACAGTTAAAAGGGGATTTATTTTGGAAGCTCTCTTCAAGCACACTTCTCGACAATACCATGGCCGTTACAACACACTGGAAGCTCATGGGGAAGAACTGTATTTTTATTCAACCAGTCACTATTTTCTGAGCACATACCGCTCTTCAGGTCCCATCCTAGGTTTAAGAATCACAGTGATCGGGCGCCTGGGTGGCTCAGTCGGTTGAGCGACTGCCTTCGGCTTGGGTCATGATCCTGGAGTCCCGGGATCGAGTCCCGCATCGGGCTCCCTGCTTGGCAGGGAGTCTGCTTCTCCCTCTGACCCTCCCAACCCTCCCCCTTCTCATGCTCTCTCTCTCTCAGTCTCTCTCTCTCAAATAAATAAATAAAATCTTAAAAAAAAAAAAAAAGAATCACAATGACGACAGTGTTACTGTTGGTGATGACAATGATGTTTACTATGTTCCGGTCATTCTACTATGACCTTCTGCATTAGTTTCCTAGGGCTGCTGTGACAAATTACGACAAACTGGGGGGCTTAAAACAACAGATTTATTCTCTCACTGTTCTGGAGGCTGCAAGTCAGCAATCCCAGTGTTAGCAGGCCTGCGCCCCCTCTGAAGGCTCTAGGGGAGCCTGTCCCTGTTCCCCCAGCTCCTGGTGGCTGCGGGTGCTACACAAGTGCCATCTCTGCCTCTGGCTTTCCATGGCCTTCTCTTCTCTTTGTGTCTCTCCTCTGTGTGGAGATTTGTTACTGAACTGGCTCCACTCAGATAATCCAAGATGACTTCATCTCAAGCTCTTTAACTTAGGGGTGCCTGGGTGGCTCGGTCAGGTTAAGCGTCTGACTCTTGGTTTTGGCTCAGGTCATGACCTCAGGGTCGTGAGACTGAGCCCCCAGTCGGGCTCCGCGCTGGACGTGAAGCCTAAGATCCTCCCTCCTCTCCTTCTGCCCCCGCCCCTCGCCACCCTGCTCACACACTGTGTCTCTTAAAAAAAAAAAAAGATCCTTAACTTAATGGCATCTGTCATCTGCAAAAACCCCTTTTTCCAAATAAAAGTCACATTCACAAGTTCCAGGGATTAGGACGTGGGTATATCTTTTTGAAGGCCACCACTCAACCCACTATACCTTCTTAGGTGGACTCTTACATTATATTACCCTAAATGACATAATCCCAGCACTTCAAAAGCCCACAGAATAATAAACACGATGTCCAAAAAAACCCACAAAGTGCTGTGGGAACAGACAAAATTATAGAAACTAGCTCTCCTTGGGGAGTAGAAGGTTCAAGTCATGGAGGGGTCAGTGTCAAGGCTGGGTCCGAAAGGATACAAAAAAACAAAACTGGAGGAGGCAGGCCTTCCAGGCTGAGGACTTAAATGTACAGAGTCACAGCTGGTCTCTTCCCTGCCATATCAGAGAAGACTGAGCAATTGAGTGAGACAGAAGCCTGGTGTCTACAGGAAACTAGTGATAGGAAATGAAGCTGGACCAGGATGTAAACTGAGGCTCCTTGTTGGGAGTGGAGAAATGACAGAGCTATCTTTACAGAGATTAGTGACATAATCAACTTGGGTTTTTAGGGAGATAACACTAGGAGCAGTGGTGAGAAGTCCAGAGGAATCAGACCCTGGTAATGTAAAGCCCAGCTTAGGAAACCCTAGCAAAGACCCAAAAGAGATGACGAGCACCTGGACTTAGGCAGGGCATTAAGGGAAAGAGAAGTCATATTCAAGACCTTGTTGTCCACATTAGAATCCTCAAAGCTAATGATGGAGGCTGGCACGTTGCAATTCTTGAAAAAACACACAAAAAGGCTGCTGATCCGAACCTAATTTCATTTCCCACCAGCCTGTCACTCAAGAGTTTATAAACCATTTCCAAATACTTCATCTCACTTTACTCTCCCAATTTTATGATGACATTATTATTATTATTATTATTTATTCTCATGTAACAAGGGAGGGAAAACAAGAGTGAGTTAGGTGACTAATGTCATAGCCAATGGGAGGGCCAGGACTCAAACCCAGGTCTTTTGACTGTCTATGGCATTTTTTCTTAATAAATTATTTCAGGATCAAGAAGAAGTCCTTTGGCTAAAAGTAAAAAGCATTTTTAAAAAGTGTGCGGTGAGGGTGCCTGGGTGGCTCAGTAGGTTAAATGTCTGATTCTTGGTTTCGGCTCAGGTCATGATCTCATGAGTCATGGGATCAAGCTCAGTGGGGAGTTTGCTTGAGATTTTCTCCCTCTGCCCCTCCCCCAACTCTCTCTCTCTTTCTAAAATAAATACCTTTTTAAAATTAAAAAAAAAAAAAAAGTGTGCAGCGATAGTGATGGCATTAGGAAGAGCCAAAGACCAGAGAAAGAGGAAATGCTGACAAGGATACACAATATTCTTACTACCAAACCTAGTCCTATCCTTCCATAGGAGAGATGCTATCTATGTAGTCTAAGAAAAAATTATAACTATCTAAAATATGCCCTTTAATTAACAAATCTTACCATGACTACCTCTTGTTACCCAACAAAGCTATGATCAAAAAAGAGAAAGTAATATTTTTTTTTTTTTAAAGATTTTATTTATTTGAGAGAGAGAATGAGATAGAGAGAGAGAGAGCATGAGAGGGGGGAGGGTCAGAGGGAGAAGCAGACTCCCTGTTGGGCAGGGAGCCCGATGCGGGACTCGATCCCGGAACTCCAGGATCATGACCTGAGCCGAAGGCAGTCGCTCAACCGACTGAGCCACCCAGGCGCCCCAGAAAGTAATATGTTGAGAGAGAGAGAAACAAGATTATATAGTATTCATTCAACAAAGATTTGACCATTTACCATGGGTCATGCAATAGTCTAGCACTGGGGATACAACAATGATCAAAATAGAACAAAGTTCTTGACCTCATAAAGCCAACATTCTAGTAAGGGAAGACAGACTATAGATGTATAAATAAGGAGGCCAGTGTGGCTAGATGTGAATAAGCAAGAGAAAAAGTAAAAGAGAGAAGGTTAAAGAGGGGGTCAGATATACAGCCATAGATATGACTGAAGAACTTTTGACTGTGAATGAGAAGGGATGCAGTAGGACCAAGAACCTGATTTGACTTCTGTTCTAAAAGGATCTGATGGGGATGCAAGAACAGAAATGGGAAGACCAGCTAAGAGATTACTGCAATAATGCACATGAGAACTGATGAGCACATGGACCACATGGGGATGGTGTTAAATAAGATT